TATTATTATATTAATACTCAGATTGAAATTCAAGAAGCGACTACGTACATGATTTTGGTGGCGATACTAGGTGGGTCTGGGGATCTCCCTGTATGAGTTATAAATTACGGAATATAAAGAAAGTGCTTTATAACATAAACAGCGTAATACTCATGATCAATAATAACCTTGCCTTGCTACATATAATACTTATTACTATACTGTATATTAAGTAATTGTCACGGCTAACGCTTCTATGGGTAGCTATCTTCACTAGCACTTGACCGTTGTACAAAGTCTTATTTCATAATAAGTAGATTAATGAGATTCATTACTTATACGTGAATTCAAAATAAGGCTTCGATTGATGCATGAATGAATAACGCGGCAATTTATTTATCATAAAGGTAGGTGACACGAAATTGAGAGTAACGGAAAGGGAATTGATCAACCTTATTAATTTTGACCCAGGTCAAACTAGAATTTCATAAAAAAAAAAAAAATCATTTACGTGTTTATTCATGCCGACACTAATAAAACGAATTCTTTATTTATTACTATATATAATATATGTATAGTTTAATAGAATTAACCACGTGATTAAATTACAAATTACCATAGCCAAAGTTTGAATATACGTAAAATTACGTAATGTCTTATAGGTTGTCCATTATTACAAAAAAAAAATGGATGAACATAGAAGGAAAAAATTATTTTACAATTACGCAATGAATCGATACACACAATTCCTTTATAGAAAAAAAAACGCGAACTTCTGCATTAAGGAAATTTTGTGTAAGCTTAATTAAAAACGACTCAAAACTACGATGCTATTGGTCGAATTTGCATAAAAAATATATATATTTACATGGATTTAGAATACGAAAAAAGGAAAAAAAGAAATGGAAGACGGTAGAAAAATTTGAACTTAAAAATAATTACTTTCATAATGATAAGAGTAATCTTTGTCGTTTTGATATTGTTGTACGTCAAAAAAATTATTTGGTTCAATAACATTATAATTATTATAATCGTTATAATCGTTACAATCGATATAATTGCTATAGACATAATTGTCGTAGCCGATATCGTTGTTTGAAAAGATGGATGGTGTAATTTGAGAATAATTTTCAAAATGACAGTCGTAAAAAATGTAAGGAGAGGAAGGGTCCACAGAAGGGGCAGCAGGAACTTGGGATGAATCAGAAACGATTGAATTTGGGGCAGGTGAGTCACATAATGGAATCAATGGTCCGGGGGATTCTTTCGGAGAGACCTTCACCTTCGATGTACGACGGTCCTTCTTTTTTTTATTTCCGCCGGGTTTTTTCGGACGATAGACGTATCCAGGGTGAGCAAGCATATGTTCCATTTTTTTTCTATCAGCCATTTTTTGCCAATAATGTTTTACATCTTCGGATTCGTTTCTCCAAAGGTTGGCAAGTATTTTTGAAATTTTCGCATTAGAAATATTACCATATTTCTGGGTGACTTCAGGTTGTTTTGCACGCCTATATAAAATGAAGGCGTTTGGAGGACGAGGGGTTCTATCCTCGGAAGATGGCTGTACTATATTTGGAGCCTTTTCAACATCGTTATTCGAATCTGAAACCATGACATTAGAAGTGATATGTTTAATTTTTATAGGATTTTGAGGTTTAACTCGAATTGGTTCCAGGAAGGAAGTAAAGACGAAGTTGTCTTGTGTTCTTATGCTGCTATTCTCGAGAGAAGTGGTATGATCGATGGTTAGTGTTGAAGAATTCCCTTTACCATTGGATTTATAGAGAGAGGAAGGTGGAATCACGTCAAACATTAACAGCCCACAATACTTTCTTCGAATTTCTTCATCCATTATTGTAGGGAAAGTGATACATGTAATCCATAGTGAATTCCTTTTATAAAGAAGTTTTCCGACAGATGAACCTTAAAATTTTCCAACAGATGCGCCCTTGACCGATTAACCTAGAAATTTTCCGGAAAAAATGAATCCAGCAGATGCTAAATATATTCTAAATTGGGAGATCAATTTAAACATAACCCATATAAAAACACCCATGGTTCTTTGTCTACACAATCCACTGTAACGGTATTGGGTAAACATAGTAAAAAGTAGTGTAACAGTCAGATCAGTCTATTTATATTTGACTGATGGAAACTATATTTTGGACAATACAGAGTTCTTGGATCTATAACGTAGGAATTTTATCCAATACCCTGACTTTATCATTAAGTTTTTTTTTTGAAAAAAAAAAAAAAATTAAAATAAATAACAAATAAAATAAACTAATAAATATATTAATATATATATACAAGTTTTTAAAATTTGCCCAAATAAATCTTTCAGCGGTTCATAAACTGAACCAAAAAATTGTAGTATGGCATCAGAATAATAGGATAATAAGGTAACGGCTTAGCCAAAAGACAGGTTTTTTTTTTTTTTTTTACCGATATGGATTCATTGAAGTGATTCGTGTGAACTAAAGATAAGGTTGAAGATAAGATTAATGAAGCATGTGCATCTATGGTGACTCATTTTGGTACTGCAGAAGTCTCTATAAAAGACTAAAAGACTCGGTGAAACAAATAGATCAAACGCTGTATTTTTGGATCCCTTGCAGTATAGGTGACACTATTACTAAAATGTATCTACTCTATATTAATTTAAATAGGAATCACCTTTACTGCAAGAGATCAAATATTATTACAGTAATGAGATGCATCAATAATGATAATTCATGTAATTTAATTTTTTATTATGCATCTCATAGTAAAGCTGTTAGAGTATTAATTATACTTTGGTGTATTCTAGGAATATAAACCATTAAATCGCAAATAGGGTTGATTTAAATTATAAAATTTTTTGCTAATTACGTATATGCAATAATTATATAATTAATACGTTTCACTAATAAAGTTTCAAATCACATTTTTTTTATAGTAATTTTATCTTTAAAATTTAGAGATAGAGTTAAAAATTAGGATAAGATAGGTATAAGGTTAGAACTTAGGGAGTTAAGGTTAGGACTAAAATAACTGATAAGGTTCTAAAGAGAACATTTTCTAAATATAACAACTATAGTAAAATTTAATGACCACACTAATGGAACACTCTGTATTACATCCATCATTCAGGATCTTTCATATGGCGGTTTGCGCAATTACACAAACAATGCATCAAACAATAGAGTATTATATAAGGAAAATGGATATGCTTCAAAAATAAACAAATTACATTTTTAGAAAACTCTTAAATTGGTAGTACACGCTGCAATGTGTGAAAAACAAAGTATAAATTTGTCATTGTTGATCATCCCTGTGATGAAAGGTTTACATTGTTTACAAAAACAGCAGCCTTTGGATATAGCTGATCGCATTCTGACATTCGATAGAATTCATTTGTACTCTTCTATGCAATGTTTGTTTCATATGCTTTTTTGAAGTTTTTCCTAATGAATTTTTTAATATACATTGTAATGATGTTCGTGTGCTTGCATAATGATTCTTGGCTAGAGATGGTAAGTGTTTTAAAACATGTTCTTAAAAAATCATGATTGTTTGATTTTTAATTGTTTAAATGGTTTAATGTTTTTAATATATCATGACGTAATCATCGTGATAGTTGAGTAATTCAAAAGTATGTCACTAAAGCTGATGGGTTCTCTGGTCTATTGTTTAGGACATTCGTTGAGCGTTCAAGTTCAATTAGGTGGTGGTGGCACTCAAAATTGTTTTCTTTCGTGATTGAACTTACTTTCCAGGTTCTTTCATTGTCAGCTTTTTCTGCCGCCGCAAAATTTGTTATTTCGATTTTACGACAGTTTATCAAAATCAAAAAATTTTAGAAAGAAATTAAAGACAATGATTGGTTTGATGACGACAATAAATTTGGAAAGAATTTATTTTATTATATTGTAATGTTTCTAATATTCAAGAAATTCATTTCTAAGAACTCATTTAACGATATTTACCAGCAGTAATTCGCAAGATACTTTATATACATGCATTGTAGGCCTTGGGCTTTCAATATCAATAAACATAGTACTAAATTTAAAATATAACGATAATAAATTAACGTCGATAAAAATTTTTTTTAGAAATATAATTATCACCTCATTATTTTTAGAGTTAGGGTGCAATTTAAGACCAAGACAGGGTTAGACATAATCCAAATTTAGGTTACATAAGGTTTTGGAGGGTTCTGAACATTTTACTTAGCATATCCGTTTTTGAGATAGCATTAAGGTGATGATCACCTCAGGTTATATTTGAGAGCTGCACAGGGAAAACCTGCAAGTAAAATTTTATTCGTTAATCCATGCCGATCTTAGTTATTTGGCACTGGGCGTGATCAACCATTATGTATGACAAATAATCATTTATTATATAGTTTAAGTAATAAATATTTATTCGCCATTCCCGATCGCTGTCAAATTTTCACTTTCACGTGATTATCATCCAATAGTGTGTTTCGTTTTAATGTAACGTTACACGATCAGAAAGATCAAAACAAAACGTTCGCTTTTCAAAATCGCTTATTCCTCAAAAACTTGCATAAGAAACCACCTTTTGAGCTCTAACAAAAAAAATTCCTCGAGTGATTTTACTATTACTTTTCTAAAACCTAGCCCTATTATAAACGCTAACCCTAACTTAAACGAATTTAAAGATTTTTAAACGCGGTCACGTGAAAGTGAAAATTTTGACGGCGATACTGGGGAAGATTCATTCCCTATGATTGGTCACGCCCCAGTGCCAAATTATTAAGATCTGCATAGTGATTAACGAATAAAATTTTACTTACAGGTTTTCCCTGTGCAGCTCTCATTTCTTATAATTTTTACATGTGATGGTGATAACTCAAATCTTAAAAAGAATACATTTTTTGCTAAAATTGAATTAGCCAATTAGTTGCAAAAGTTCCAAATTTCGACATCAACCGCCAGTGTTTTAAATTTTTTAAAACTTAAAAAAAAAAAAAAAAGGTTTAGTTCTTGGCATAAAAACAGGAAAGTTTACCAAAATTCTTTCCAATAAAAAATGGTTTAGGATAACGATAAGGTGCAAATTTTAAACTGGTTTTTTGTAGATGCATTTTTTTAAATAGGCTCCAGGTTGTTAAAATATTCTAGAATCCAGAAAGGGTTTAACCGCTACAATTTAAGAGTTGTATAATATTTAACGTTAAGATTCTAGACAAATTAATATCAATCAGAGTGCAGAATCAGCTGTAACGTGAGAAAAAACTGACTGCCCTTGCAAAATTTTGGTTTAGGGGAATTTACAGATAAGGGCCCAAAAATGAAAATAATTACAAATAAGGGCCCAACAAATATGATTTCTTTGAATATGATCGTAATATAATCATTGATTGTTAATGCATAAGAAATGTAATAATAATCAATTAATAATTCGAATATAAAATTCCAATACACAATAAAAAAAGTACATTCGATTCGTCAACCCATTATTCACGTTGTAAATTTATTTCATTGAAATTCTTATATATATTTCTTAAAACCTGTTCATAAATGTTAGATACAAAATTACAGATCGGTATGACTTTTACAAACTTGGAAAATGTTCATTCGGCCTTGGATTGTTATTCTGTTGAATTCTAAGAACGAACAAACCAAGTAAACTGTTATTCTGTTGAATTCTAAGTTAAGAATGAACTAACCAAGTAAACTGTTGATTATTTGCTTTATAAATGAAACCAGTTCATGCTCTTTTACTATTTCAGCTAACAAGGTCCAACTTGTCAACTTTTATAGATGCATTCAAAGTGCGAGATATAATAATACTTCAACCTTGTAATATTGAAAATCGTGTTTGTTTTAAAAGTGAGGACCGAGACATCATACATGGTAACTTAGAGAAGTAAACACGTTAGGCCACACAAAACTAATTTTTTCATTTTGCATCACATGGATTTCGTCAGTCGGTCGGAGTTTTAAATGTGATTATAAGCAAATAAAATTATAGAGGAAGTGATTATAGAGTGGTTCTAAATAATTAATGATAACTCTAAAACACTTATTTAATCACGAAATAAGACAATTAACCATGATGCCGTTATGATTAAATCGGTTAGCAATTTTGACGATATATTTGGACCCTTATTTGTAATAATTGTGGCAGGTGAAGCTGAGATTTTGAAAAATTTTGGGGTCTTTTTTGTTAGCTTTTTTTTAGAATTGGGTTAGAATTTAGAGGTAGTTTTATTAATAAAAGAGTACAAATGAATTTTAGTATGTATTATAGATTTAAATAGAGACCCCCTGATCTCAGCTTCAGCTGCCACAATAATTTTCAATTATCGGGCCTTTATCTGTAGTTTTGGGCCCTTATTCGTAAATTCCCCGTGTTGGTTTTTAACCATCATCTTAATCAATCCTCGTCTAACCTTAACTGACTGCTGCTTTTTTTAGTTAGACGATGGCAATGCATTATGATGGCGATAAGTGATAATTTTCTAAATAAATAATAAATATAAAACCTTGTTAAATGGTGCCCGGGATTCAGTGCACCTAATATCCCAAAATCCTACTATGAAACCACCTTTGGAGGTATTTCCCCGTGAAATTTTATTATAAACTATACTTTATTCGTACATCCCTTACCCTAATATTTTCTGGTATATTTGTTTTAAGAAATTTATATCGTACTTATTTAATTATTGGATGCATTGAATGCATTGAGACACCATTTAGAAAGATATACCGTATTTCGCGGCCAAACCACCCCTCCCCTGTCGGATCATGCGGATATTTCCATGGTGCATATCAAATTAATAACTTGTATGTTGTTTTATCACTACAGTATAGAAAACCAATCGCCGGTACGTAGTACATAACAAATATATTATGCATCCGCATGCACCATCAAAATATCCATATTATCCGGTAATTATTTTACAGGGTGGCCCGCGAAATACGGTAATAAATAAATTTATTTATTTATTTATTTATTTATGAATATCTCGTAATTACACGAAATAAATAAACTTACCCTTAAAATTATTGTGCTTTGCTTTAGAACAATGCACATCTAATCAGGAACTTGAAACCACATATGTTATACTTTTAAACGACATTTTTTTGAGAGTGGGTACGCAATATGCATATACAGTATGCACAAGTTAATTTCGATAGATTCTATATACTCGTAACAATTAAATAGTTTTTAAAATATAATCATTAATTGTCACATTACGTGATTCGGTTAAATAAAAATAATTATTATAGTAAAATAATTATCATAAAATAATTGGTGAACCGTTATCAATGGCAATCTGAATTGATGAATGAGATTATTTTTTATATTCAATTAATTTCACTTGCACCATTTTGGTAGCTTTTATTCAGTGACATAGTATCTCGTGATATGCATCATATGCAAGGGTATGATTGAGAGCCTCAATCATTTCCCCGACACATTTATTTCCTGAGAAGCGACTGTCGAGAAAATGAATGTGTCAGGAAAGTGACTGTCGGGAAAAAGTTTGTCAGAAAGTGATTGTCGTGAAAATGATTGGGACCCTTTAATAACTATTTGCTTGGCACTCTCCATTTAATTTCATTGTCTTTTAGTTTCGCACTTATACAATATTAAAAAAATTCGGTTCATACCTTTTTTTATTGTTGTAACTTATTCTGTACCGATACCGTTTGCCACTGCGCATAATATTCCTCAAAAATAATAGCCTTCCATTATTATGGTTCACCGCCCATTTGGTTAATGCTTGAATAATACAACTACAGTAATCTATTCTAAATATGTTACCCAGTTCCTCACATAATATTCACGGGCATTATTCAATTTAAAAAGATTATTGAATGTGGTGTACGTATGTAGATATTATATAATGGATGATCTAAGTACAAAAATAACTGTTTAAATACTGTGGTGACCTAGTAAGTTAATCTTTCCTCGAGGATCTTCAAGGATTTTCAAAGATCTATCCTTTCATAAGCTTTATCCGATTATATAAAGTCGAAAAAGAAAGACATATAGTACTTATTTGGAAAAATCATTCCAATAAATTACCATTACATAATCATTAACAGAACTGCATTTTTTATAACATTTCATTGTATGCCTAATGATCTTATCGACAAGTCATTTAATCGACATTACACAAAAACTGAAATTTTATATGACGCGCAGTGAAATTTATTATGTAAATATACCATATTCTCAAATAATAACGCCCACTTGCGAGTTATTTGAATACGCCAATGCGCGTCATTTTGAAGGCAAAAATTTTTTTAAAAATAATGTGTTACATAACAATTATATATATCAAGTGTGCGTCATTTAAGAGTGCCGTTTTGAACAAAGTATACTACCTTTTAAAAACTAACGCCCATGTGCATTACGAAGTAATACATTCTACTTTTTAACATAAGATGTTTTTTAAAAAAAAACAATGCATTATACATTATAGTCATATAGCATATACGTTTTTTTTTTTAAAAAAAAAAAAAAACCTCAATGCCAACCAGTTATCCAATTAGAACTTCACAAAAAATCATATAACAATTTCGAACTCCTTATAATGTTCAAGATAGAGATGAGCATTACACACCTTATTAAATCGAAATATGAACAGAATAGAAAAAAACTATTGAGCAAGCCTGTAATACATTTCTGAAAAATCAAAATAATATATGAAACATAATGCTTCAGTTTATAATTGATGAAATTGGATATAAGAACTTAAAAAAAATTGGAAATTTACCAATTTATAAAGTAAAAAAGATGTTACATACTTTGCCATAGCAATACCTAGGTCAGCTGTAAAAATGAATACAGAAGGCTCTGGGGGGGTTATTTCAAGGATAAAATAGTTCTAAGGTTAAGACAATAATTTGAGCATCTGAGTATGATCTAGTGATGTTAACACAGATTGCAGGTTCAAAGGGTTTAAAGTAAAACATCCAAGCAGAGGTGTTAGGTATAGCAATTGATAAGAAACCTTTAAACAGACTTCTTAAATAGATAATATAGAAAAGTTACACATATAACTAATTATGCACTCTTTTATAGTAATTTATAAAAACACATTATCAAAAAATTTATTAATAAAAGTCAAAAAAACAAAAAGGTTATCTTAATACTAAAAAAAAAACATATTATATATAATTTATTTTTTTTTAAATTAAAGTTCTTATTTTTGAAAAATGAGTCTTATTCAAGTTTTTGTCAGACATAGGTGTCTTTAGGAGTTTCTTTATATTGAAGATTATAACTAATCATACATATATTTTTGGTATTTAATTTAAGTAGTTTGTTTATATATTATTATACAGATTCTATATTGAGTATTATATTTACAAGTTATTCACAGGTTTTGCTTATTGAAACTATTTGTATATACAATCTTGTATTACAAAAATATCTTCAGAACATAACTTATTCAAGTTCCTGATTCTTATCAGTATCTTTAGAATTATTTTATCCTTAATAAAAGACTTATTAGAGTCTGTTATGTTTTATGTATAATTGATCTAGTTTTATGTAATATATTATAGTTATCTAATACTTGTAGTCACAGAAGTTATCTTTTTAATCATTATATTACATTATTTTTATTCTTTTAAATTTATTATAAACTTAATATTTTTTTAATATTTTTTTTATATTCTTTTATTAATCTTTTTTAGGTTATTCTTAATTTCTTAAACTACTAATTTAGATAGTCCAGTATGATATATTTTTGTATCTGTTTTTTTAATAAATCTAATAGCTTAGTTATATGCTTCTTTATATATATGTTTTATTCAGTTTATCTTACTAAAACTCTTAAAGATATTTATAGTCTTC